TATCTATACTAATATTATAAAGAGGTAATGTATGTATGTATGTAAGTTTCTTTGCAGCAGGTAATCTCCGAAACTACTCACCCAATTTCAAAAATTCTTTCACCAATATTTAGAATGGAACCTCGGGGTGGACATAGGCTGTATATTATTCCGTTAAACATTCATATAAATTAAATGATATCATCTATGGTTAAGGCTTTTTTGTCCAACAGATGGCGCTACAAGTACGACACCCTAAGTTTGCTTTTCTGTGAGATGCTTTTCTGTGAAAATGAACTAAAGCGGATCATCTTCTATCTATCAATATAAATAAAAATGTAATGTTCATTTGTTCCTACCGATTCCTTTGAAATTTTGACATAACACTGCATTCGAATATGCACATGTTCGAATGCATGTGCATATTCATCTAATGAACTGTAAGAAAAAAACTTTCCAGAAAACTGAAGGGAGATGGTTAAGATTAAGGCTTACGGTAATGAACTCTGCTTCTATTTATACTATTTTAGATGCGGGTTTTTGTGTCTTTGATTGCGTTTTAATAGGGTACGTCAACAGAATGTACACTAAGAAGGGATTTTTCGATATTCCCCCGTGGGGGAGAGGGACAGAATTAAGTCTTACCGTGAAGAACTTGGCTTCTATTATATTATTTTAGATGTGGGTTTTTACGTGTTTGATTGCGTTTTAATAGGGTACGTCAAGGCGTTTTAATAGGATACGGGGGAAGTGTTATACATTTATAATAGATACATTTTGAGCCACAACAATGCGTGGCGGAGTCTGCTAGTAAATAATAATTAGAGTTATTTATTGAAACAGCAATTAAGTATTTAAATGTGTTACATTGTGGACAAAAGTCTTTATTAAAAAGAAGCACAACCAAATAACTATACTGCACACAAGAATAAAATTATATTTGCTAAAATGTTTCCTCCAAAATTGCTGAAAAATTTTAAATGCAAATGAACAATCACTTATGAAACAAATCAGCTTATTACAACTTTCATCAAGAGTTACATAAATCAATCTAAAATTAGAAAAATATTACAGAGTGAAGATTAAATACAAATAAAATCTAATATTTTAAAATGCTTTTTGTTTTTAATTTTTGTCAGAAAAAAAATATTTTTTAATTAATTAACTAAGAGAATAATGTAATGCCTATATTTTTACAAAACTATTTATTAAATAGAAGTGATTCTGAAATTAATCTAAATGTCATTTGTTAGCAATAATAACGATAATATGTAAGATTCAATAAAATAGTTTTCTATAACAATATTCTAAGTTCATCCATAAGAATTTAATATATGCTTTAATTTTCTTATTGGCAACAGTAATATGTCTCTTTCAATTTCTAATGAACTGTAAGAAAAAAACTTTCCAGAAAAATATTGACTGAATATTTATTTTTTCAAGAAATGAATTTATCATCTTAAAAATATAAACTAAATTTGTACCTGAATTTGAAATAATTCATTTAATAAACATAATGGTATATTTTGAATTTCTTCAGAATCTCTTAACATTGTTGTTATCAATTTTTGCTTTACTTTTGTTGCAATCCCTTTTAATTTGAGTAATTTAGTTAATATTCTTGAAACAATGCTTAAAGATGAATCTTTTACAGCTATATTAACTTTACATGTTATTACTCTGAAATAAATTATATCAAATTGTATAAAAATAAAAGATAAATTTAAAAATTACAAAATTATGCATTTATAATTATAAAACAAAACTAAAAAGAGAAAATGTATACTTGTAATGCAAATTAGAAGCTTCTAAACAGGACCAATATAAAAATCGTCCTTTTCCAATTCCAGAATCACCTTTAACAATTACAAAGTGATGGAGAACGTGATAATATACAATTTTTTGTTCTGTTTCTTCTTTGATTTTCTTCAAATATTCTGTTACAATAGCTTTTTCTTTGAGCATTCCTAGACATGGTTCTTCAAACTGATCAATATCTTTCAAATTTTCTCTAGAAAAGTAAAATTAATAACAGAAAGAAAAACTGTACTAATAATATTGAAAATTGTATTTCTTCTAAAAAGAAAATAAAATTTAAAAAACAAATTATCAAAATAGCAATAATAAAATAAAAAACAAAATTAAATATTATTGCATTTGACTTTTAATATAATAAGAATTTATAATTTACTCATTTATAATTTAGTATTAAAAAATAATTATTATAATGGCATATTTTTTTATTGAAAATAAACTTCAGTTAATCTTAAAGAAAATGATAAATTTTGAATTATAAAATACTTTGCTACAAAGAAACAAAGAATAAAATAAAATACAAAGAAACAGCTTAATAACAACAACATGGTTTCATCAGAATCAAAAAAAATTATAAAATATTTTCTTCTTTTTTTGTGAAGTTTCCGAGAGGGGGAGGAAAAAGGGAATATCAAAACTGAGTCAAGATGAATGAAAAGAATATTATGTGAGTTTGGTAGATGACACTGAGGCAAGTCATCTTTACAATTGAACTTTTTTATTTATAAAAATGAAGGGCTTACAAGATTCTTTTCAAGAACTTCTAAAAATGGGTAAAAGGATAGTCCAAAATGGAATTAAGACATTTTCAACAATTCAATGGTGATCTGAAAGCCCCAGGGCAGATAATAACTCCAGATGCAGAATTAAGATAGTGCAGAATTAAGGCAGTGGAACATGGGCACAGAGCAAATGGGTTTATATTGTGAGCTTGAAAAAAGAAATGCTGTAAGCAACATTATGTTTTTGGAAGGCAAAGAACTTCATGTCCTTGGGACATGGGCTTTTATTGATTTCTGGATCCTCAATTGTTCATTCGATAGTATCAAATCCCCACTCTTGCTCTCCAAGTGGTCGTCTAGGTGTAAATTGTTCTATCTGTAGGTGTAAAATCGTCTGTTACTTGGTGTAAATTGAAACCAACTTAGAATGCATTGATGTTTAATCTGATCCCAACTGGGAACAGTCAATCTTACATTGCATCAATAGTTAATGGGCTTACATGGTTTATTTGTTCATTTGTCATGTTTATTTAATAAAGTGTTTTTCCCGTAATTGTCTCACTCTTTTCTATAATAAACATTTTAAAATGAATTTTAGTGAGGATTCAAACCTTGTGTAGAAGCTCACATTTTCTTATAACAAAAGAAAATATATTTGTTAATTTTTATCAAAGACTGCTTTATTAATTTGCTGAGAATAAAAGTTTACAATCAGAATTCCATTAGTTTTATGATAATTAGACAAATTAATGAGATTTTGAACTACATTAATGTAGATATTTTTATTTCACAAAATTGTAAAAAATATATATATTTTTAAAATTGAATACATTAAATGATTCATTGTCAACTGAATGATTAAAGTTGGGTAACCAGGTCACGTGTATGTCCCATCTGTATATTTATACTGGATGGGACATATGTATGTCTTGGAGAGAATACTGTAATTTTTGTTAGAAACAAATTGTGTTTGAGAGTTTAATAAATGAATGTTTGGTGCACTTTGTACATATATGCAAATAGCTTGACAACTTTAAATAAGTATTTGCTTCCAGATTGATAGCTCTGGACAAACCAGAAAAAGGCTGAGACAGTATCAAATAGTCCCTGATTTAAACTCCCGAGATTTGGCAACATAGTGACAACTAAACATAAAAGTTTGTCTCTCTCCAATAAAGAACCTTAAAATTCTTCATGAGTGCACCAGGAACACAATGAAAAAACTTTCAGCAGTCTTATTGGCAAATTTTATAAATGCTTACAGAATTTGTGTATCTAAAGACAAACATTTAAAAATTGTACTTCATAGTTAATTTACTTCTTAATTAATTGCATTTGTGCTTTTCTGATAATTTAATTTTTCTTTCAGGACATACATATGTCCTGAAAGAAGTTAAAGTGATAGCTGAAAAGTCATAGTCATTCAAGTGAAAGCTTTATATACTCCTGAGCATTTATATATTTGTGGATTATCTTCTATTATTGTTGCTTTTAAAAAGTTATGCATATTAAATTTTTTTAATTATTTGTACTGATCTATAATGATCAGTTTTTCTTTGCATTCTTTTAAAACTTCTATAATAGATAAATCATTATCATTTTTTTAAATATAATTTGGAATATTTATTTAAAACAGTGTAATAAATAAAAATAATTTATATTATGGATGAAAATATAAACTGTCAGTTCTTTTGTAAAGTATAAATTGAGTTAATTGTAACAATTTATTTTCTCTTTTTTGTATACGAAGTCATCGTCTTCTTTTTTGGAGACAATTGCTCTTCTTCTTTGAAGACCATTCTAGAAAAAGTTCAAATTAAATGCACATATATTTGCTACCTGGCATAAGAAAGGGTAAACCCATAAGCAAGAAAAATACAATCGTGAGCTTGGTGCTTACATAATATTTAAAAAATAAAAAGTTCAAAATCTGTAATATACCATATTTTACAGCATACAAGACAGATGGTCATGTAAGATGCACCTCCTATTTCAGCAAAGAATATTTAGGAAAAAGTATTGAATATTTAGTGTATTTAAGTCATCCTGCAGCTCTGCACCAAAAAGTTTTAAACTGTATTTTGATTATAAAAAAAGATAAATGGGGAAAAAAATGAAAAAAAACAAGTTTAATTAAAAAAGTCATTTACAATTAATATTTACCATTAAAATATTCTACATAAACACATGTGAAAGCACTTTATCTAAAATTGATAATAATAATAATAATAATAATAATTTGATTAATTACGCATTTTTTTATCCAGGAGGTGGGCTAGGCAGAGGTTACCTATAATCTACTGAAAGCCATTTGGGAAATTCATTAGTCTTTGGGAGATTGCAACTTCACATATAAGACACAAAGCAATTTTTTGAACATTTTTCAAAAGTTGCATCTTATAACTTACACACTATAAGATGAAATAGATATAAAATGCACTATATCTTGCACTTTATAATATTATTTATGAATCAATATTTTTATAAATATAATTCCATAACATATATAAAATAAACAAACTTTTTTATGTTTCTATTTTAACTTTTGATGAGAAATCAAATTTTTATTCTAATCCAAATTCATTTGATTTGTTTTTTATTATCAAAATTATAAAATATATAAAAGTTTATTATATGTACAGTACTTTATAATTTCTTTACGTTATTTCTGAAATAATTTTATAAAATATTACTCACAATGTTTCTTTTAAACGATATTCATAGACGGCCTTAATATTCTGCATGCCTTTCAGCTTTTTTACTGGTAAAATTATAAAATTTTCTTCACCAAGTTGAGATTTTGCTTGTTCATAGGTTACATCATCACAAATGATAGTATGTTCTGAATAGTACATCATTAAACGAGCAGCCATATTTACACCACGACCAATAACTAAATTTATATTAAATTGTTTAATTACTTTTATATACAGTTTTAATTGCTAAACTACTTAAAACTGCATTTATTAAAACAATTAGTATTTAAAACCTAACCTAACCTAACCTAACCTAAAAATATGTGAGCTGTTCACAGCCCGGCACACGTATTTGTAAAATCTAAGTGACACATACAACATGGAATTCATATAAAACAGAATTATCAACAGTGTTATAGGGGGGTCGATTGTATATTAATACATTTAATTTATGTGTAGTAAGCATGTAAGTAATTAGTGAGATAGTCTCCATACTTTGAATGTTTATTTTTAATCACTAACTGATTTTATGTTTTGCTTTTACACTCCTCAAAAGTGAAATTGCAACACCACAAAAAAAATGCAATGTGGCCACATTGCAGGACTGGTAGAGGTGACATAGATGTACAAATGATTAAAATAACAGAGAAAGACATATGCAACAGACATCTGTTTATTCAGTAATGAATATGGCCCCCACAAACAGCTATACAAGGCATACTATCATGCCTGAGGTATTCCTTGCCAAGCAATGTCCACTGCAGCAATCATGTTGTCTACAGTACATGATGATGGTGGTCTCCAGTGTGTCTCACATCAGATGAAGTGTTTGAGGGGAGAGAAAGACTGCTGGCCATGGAAGGATTCTTTTCTGGTTGGTGAGAGTTCACCATGTGACATGCAGTCGAGCATTATCCTGCTAGAATACTGTGTCAGTGCAGCCTGCACCAGTGGCCAAACCACAGGTTCCACAATTCATGTGACATACTGGTCCACTGTCACAGTATCAGCAATGTGCACCAGGGCTGACCACTGATTGAACATAATGCCTCCCCAAACCATTATGCCTGGTGTGATGCTTGGCAAAAAAAACTGATATGTAGCATTATCCAGGATGTCACCCACCCATCCATAGCCATAATTCCTCCACAGACAAAAGTAGGATTCATCCATAAACAAGATCCAATCCGTTCACTGGTCCAGTTACAATGATGATGATACTATACCAGGAGAGCAGTTTTGTGTTGAGTGATTAATGGCACCTGGTTGCTAGTTGCTATATGTGCAGCCCAACTTCACGCAACCTGTTGCAAATAGTTTGGGTGGACACAGATGCACATGTTGACAGCAAAAGATGGCTTCAGATGTCATGGCTGTTTGGTGAATCTGCCAGTATGTTCATCAGTATAATCATGCACTAGTGTAATTCACTCCTTCTTTAGCATGTTTGCAGATGTTCCTGCATCCATCATCATCATGTCCACATTGCTGGATGGTACTCACATCTAGCAATGTTATTACTCCTGTGGGTGCCCACACAGCAACATGAGGCACTATGTACTTGACTACTCTCATACTTAGGGCTTCTGCCAGAAAGTCAGTCATGTTGACTGGTCACAGCCTTTAGAGTAAGTACTTCAAATGCTTGCAGCATGTAAAGGCAACTTAGAGAGATTAAAGGAATTGATGGAAATTGTAATGGGTCTTGTAGACTCCTAGCTCAGTTGGTGAACGGGACAGAGTCCCCACTGCTGTGGGTTTTAGACCCAGTAGACTGTATTTGTGAGCTGACGTTACTTTGAAGGTAAGAATAACTGCACTTAGTACCCCTCTAAGTGCAGTTTAATTAACTGCATAAAATTGTAGATAAGAATAAGAGTTGGACTAAGAGTGAAGAAGGCAAGGAAGGTTGGTCCTTTTGGGTTCATACCATTAGAGCCAGAGATTTATCTTTACCTACTATTTTCATCCAGTCATCCAGGGAGTGTCCAGCTGCTGATGAAACTTTCCAGAAACACTGTAATGCCATTTAGCAGGGCAGAGCCAACTTCTTGTTGTGTGTTGGGCATGTTATGAGGTACTCACATCATGCCCAACACACATCAACAAACCGAGGTCAGACAACTCCAGGATACAATCTTGTTCCCCAGCCATTAACTGATGGTATTCAGCTTGCTGTCATCTCCGAGGCATTTTCTATGCTTCTTTGAAAGTTCAGCTTCTGCAAACCATCACTGATAGCATTTACAGCTTCAGCTGGCTGTCGGTCTTTATAGCCCAAAACCATGTACCACATGACCTAATGCATACACAAACTTACTCATCTCTGTTGCCTCTACTGGCCCTGCAATTTGCATGTAGCTAAATGCATTCCTTCATGGTGTTGTAATTTCACTTTTGAGAAGTGTATATCTTTAGTTTTATCATTATAGATTCTCAAGTTCATTTAAATTCTCAATTATTTCCATTTATTTCCTTAACGTAACTGAGGATTATAAAAAAAATCTGAAAAGACAGGCATTTGTATAAAAGAGAATTAGTTAAATACAGCTGTTCTAATCAGTAATAGTAATTGGTTACAATTACATTTGTGTTTTTAAGATA